TGTATTTTGTTTTGTTTTTAGTGCATTTTGTTTTGTTTTTAGTGTATTTTGTTTGGAAGTCGGTTTTGTTTTTTATTAAAAAGTTTATTTTGTTTTTAGTGTATTTTGTTTGGAAGTCGGTTTTGTTTTTTTATTAAAAAGTTTATTTTGGTAAAATCTGTTATTAGTATTCTAGAGGGTCATAGACCACTGAGGGTCACACTATAGGCGTCGCCAGAAAGAGTCCCTTCCTTGATTATAAAATTGTACAAAAAAACATAAACCCCATAGATAACTCAAAACCATCAGTTTTCCATACTCAGATAAAAAGGAAAGATTTGTATTTATGTATGTATTGAAATAACTTAAAAACTACTGGACCGATTTAAAAAAATTCACCATTAAAAAGCCATAATATCGCTGAGAACATAGGTTATATTTTTTCAATTTAAAATTTCGTTCATTACAAAACTACCATACGCATTATCTTTGGAGTTAAAAAAAGACTAGCTCCCCTAGATCTAGGCTGACGAAGCCCTTTAGTTCGAGATTTAGGTCATGAGTCATGTCAAAACACACATTTACATATAAATATTATTAGATATATATGTATATATAAAAAAAAAACAAAAAAAAAGTAAAAAAAAGTATAAAAATAGAAAAAAAAAACTACAAAGATAAGGTTGCTGCAAAAAACATAGCAGCAGGAAATAAAGAAGGAAAATAAAAAAAAAATATCATATGCCATGATAAACCATTGTAACCAATTCACCTATCATTCAGTGCGTTTCCTGCAGTTGGGGCATGTCTGCTGCTCCTGGAGCCAGGGCAGGATGCAGGCCTGGTGGAAGTTGTGCGAGCAGGGGAGGGTCATCACCTCCTGACTGCGCTGGATCACCTCGAAGCATATCGAACACTCCTCTGTCACCCAGTTACGTTCGCGACTGGAAAAAACAAAAAAAATTACAAAACTCAAAAAAAATCTATGACATTTAAGAGAACACAAATCTACTGACATCAATGTCAAAATCCTTTAAACATGCCAACCCAACCGAACTTTCGCATTTATGATATTAGTTTGAAATCATGCGAGAAAAAAAAAAGGTTAGCATGGTATGGGCATGTTATGAGGGATGAATCGTTTGTAACAAGGACATTAGAGTGTGGTACACCGGTACAGGTAGACATAGAAAGAGACAATGGTAGTGCCCGCTTTAACATTTTAGCACAGCAGGGCCGGGCCCAGTAATACCACGACTACACAGAAGACAGGCGTGAAATGGAAGCAATTCCGTGTTTCGTCTGATGAGTGTAGTGCCGGAGGCCTAATTTAAGTCCCTTTCTCTTTACCACCCTTTTCTTATAAAGAGAGGATGGAAAGGGGAAGTTGATTTGACGGTGGAAAAGATGCATAGGAGAAAATATCCTTTTTATGTGCGTCTCCTCCTCCGTCGGATAAGGGTAGGCAACGCATCTGCAATTGCGGATGTC